AAATCTATGAATATTATCTAACTCATCTAAAATATTTTTAAGTATTTGCAATTTAGTCTGCCATGTAAGTTCACTAAAATTTTTTATTAAATATTTATGAAGACTCCCATTATTTGCATACTGAAATACCATAAAGTATTCTTTTGTTTCTGTATTTTGAGTTATTCCATATATTGCAAGCTTATTAGCATTTAATCTACATTGCATAAGACTTTTAAACTTAAAATTTAAACAATGAATTAGCTCAATAAACTATTTGATGAAATATAAAAGTAATAAATTAACTTACTTCTTTTAAAAAGTCAAAATTGTTTTCCGTAGAAATGGTTAACGTCTTGAGTGCAACGATGCTATTTGATACACGTAATCTTTTATAAGCATAGTTGTCATCATCAACTTTAATTTTTTCAACTTTTCGTATACCATCCAACCAGGTTGCTGAATATACTGAGCCAAATCCTCCTTTACCAATTTCTTTAATATCAGATAATCTATCAAATGGAATCCATTCAATCGAGTCTTCATATGCAAGGGCTCTAAGTTGGAACGTTTTCATGCAATCTTCAATATTTTTATTTCTAATTGTCCACCTTGTTTCTATGTCAGGGTCACATGATAGACACCATCCTTTATTCGTATTATATTCATTACAATGTGCACATTTTCCTTTCTGAGGTTCTCTATATAATACAGTATATAATGTTTTATTTCGTTAAATTTTTATATTGTATTAAATATAAATAATTTTTATACTCACCGACTAAATTAATGCGAATGAAATAATTTGTACAGTACGTAATAATGAATAAGTATTTATATTGTTTGTAAACTTGTTTTGCTGTTTTTTATTTCTAGAATTTATTATACTCACTCACTGAATAAAATGCAAATGAAATGATTTGTACATAAATTATAAATTAGTATTTGTTCTTGTTTTGTGAACTTGTTTTTGCTGTTTTTTTTTATTTCTAAAATATTAATCAAGTTTTTTATACTCACCGACTAAATATTTGTACATAATGGTAATTAAGTATTATATTCTTATTTTGTGATATTGGTTTGCTGCGTTATTTCTAGATTTATTAAATATTCTTTATACTCACCGTCTAAATTAATGTGAATGAAATGATTTGTACGTAATGGTAAATAAATATATATGTTCTTGCTTTGTGAACTTGTTTTGCTATTAATATTTCTAAAATTTTTAAATATTCTTTTACTCACTCTCTGATAAAAATGATTAAATGATTCGTATGTAATGGTAAGTAAGCATTTATGTACTTGTTTATGAATTTGGGTTTATTTCTAGAAATTATCAAATGTTCTTTATACTTACTGACTAAATTAATGCGAATGAAATAATTTGTACGTTATGGTAGATAAGTATTTATGTTCTTGTTTTGTAATTTATTTTGCCTGTTTTTATTTCTAAAAATTATTAAATGTTCTTTATACTCACTTACTAAATGAAATGATTAATTTGAATGAAATAATTTGTACGCAATAGTAAATAAGATAGTAAATAAGTGTTTTGTGAACTTGGTTTACTGTTTTTATTTCTAAATCGTTTATACTCACAAACTGAATAAATGATTTGTACGTAATGGTAAATAAATTTTCTCTTATTTTGTGAACTTGTTTTGCCGGTTTGTTTCTAGAAATTATTAAATGTTCTTTATACTTACTAACTAAATTAGTACAAATAAAAAATAATTATATGTAATGGTAAATAAGTATTTATGTTCTTGTTTGTAGGAATTGGAACCACGAAAAATTATGCTAGCGGTTAATCGCTTAATTATAAGCTACATGATTAATCAAAATAAATAATCGTATAATCATTTGGCCGTTTGACCGTTAAAACCATTAAATTACCCGTTATCTGGATTATTTATTATAGCCATATAATAAAAATGTCTACCCGGTACAATCTTTAGCATAAATGCAATCGTTAGGAACTGAAATCAGCATAAGTTTGGAGTATCAAATTCTTTATAGCATAACGATAAATAGTTTCCTAATACGATAATAAATTGTGTGCTGCCAAATTAAAATCAAGAACTGAATATTTAAGTTTTCACTGTGACGAACTTTGAAATTTATAATATTGCATAATTGAATCGCAAACATGATCATTTCATCACAGTAAGAACTTGAAAATTCACTTTAGGAATTAATTGGCATCATCCATATAATTATACTCCCTAACTACGCGAATATTTGCTATGTCCACGTATGATTAATCGTGTAAAATTTAATAAACGGTTAAGCGAACAATTAAAATGTCTTAATCGTTTACAGTATAATATAAATACAACAATTAAAATTTCTTAATCGTTTACCGTATAATATAAATAAACGGTTAAAGGCGGTTAAACGAATAACGGTTCCAATCCCTGCTTGTTTGTGAATTTATTTTGATGGGTTATTATATAATCTATTAAATGTTCTTTATACTCACGATCTGAATGAATGATTAATGCGGATGAAATTATTTGCATGATAAATAAGTATTCTTGTTTTGTTGTTTTATTTCTAGAAATGATTAAGTGTTCATTATACTCACGAGCTAAATGGAATGATTAATACGAGTGAAATGAATTGTACGTAATAGTAAATAAGTGTTTATGTTCTTGTTTTGTTAGCTTGTTTTTGTCGTTTTTATTTCTAGATTTTATTAAATGTTTTATACTCACTGACTAAATTAATGCGAATATGGTAAATAAATATTTATGTCTTGGTTAGTGAACTTGTTTATTTTTTTTTTTATTTCTAGAAACTATTAAGTATTTTTTTTATACTCACCGACTAAATTAATGCGAATGAAATAAGTATTTATATTCATGTTTTGTGAACTTGTTTTGCTTTTTTTTTCTAGAATTTATTAAATGTTCTTATACTCACCCGCTGAATAAATGATTAATGCGAATGAAATGATTTGTACGTAATGATAAATAAGTATTTATGTGAACTTGCTTTTTTATTTCTAGAATTTATTAAATTTCTTTATACTCACTAACTAAATTAATGCAAATAATGAATAATAAATAAGTATTTATGTTCTTGTTTTGTGTGAACTTATTTTTGCGTTCTTATTTCTAGAAATTATTAAATGATCTTTATACTCACTAACTAAATTAATGCGAATGAAATGATTGTACGTAATGGTAATAAGTATTTGCATTTTTGCTTTGTGAACTTGTTTTGCTGATTTTATTTCGTAAAATTATTAAATGTTCTTTATACTCACGAGCTAAATGAATGATAAATGCGAATAAAATGATTTGCATGTGATGGTAAATACGTAAGTACTCATATTCTTGTTTTATGACCTTGTTTTGCTGATTTTACTTCGAAATGTTCCTTATACTTACTCACTAAATTAATGTGAATGAAATGATTTGCACATAATAATAACGTTAAATAAGTATTTGTGGTTTGTTTTGTTTTGTGTACTTGTTGTTATTTGTTATTTGTTGTTTCTAGAAATTATTATTAAATATATTCTTTATACTCACGAGCTAATGAAATATTTAATGCAAATAAAATGATTTGTGAATAAGTATTTATGCACTTGTTTTGTGAACCCATTTTACTGTTTTTATTTCTATAATTTATTAAAGTTTTATACTCACGAGCTAAATGAAATTATTAATGCGAATGAAATAATTTGCGCGTGATAATAAATAAAGTATGTTTTTGTGAACTTGGTTGGCTTTTTTTATTTTTAAAAATTATTAAAGTTCTTTATACTCACCCGCTGAATAAAATACGAAATAAATGATTTGACGTAATGGTAAATAAGTATTTAAGTTCTTGTTTTGTGAACATATTTGCCGTTTTTGTTCTAGAAATTTCATTATACTTACAAACTAAATTGATATGAATAAAATGAATTTGCATGTGATGGTAAATAAGCATTTTATGTTCTTGTTTTGTGAACTTATTTGCCGTTTTTATTTCTATAAATTATTAAATGTCCTTTATACTCACATGCTTAATGAAATAATTAATGCGAATGAAATGATTTGTACGTAATGGTAAATTAGTGCTGTTTTTATTTCTAGAATTTATTAAATATTCTATACTTACGGGCTAAAATAACATAAGAAATAAATATTTATGAGCTTAAATTGCTGGTGAATAGATCAATCAATGCTTTTTATGCTTACTCCCTGATAATTAAAATCGTATAAGAGATATTGCTTGAAATAAACTACAAATAAATATTATAATAGAAATTTAAAAATTAACCTACTTTTCAATCCATTCCCAAAATTTGGTTTCACTTTCTTCTACTCCAATTCCATAAAGGTGACAAACGGCAGTTTTCCAAATTCCCATGGAATTACCTGCCTCAGCAGACTTTAGATAGTATGTAAATGCTTTATACTTATCTATTTCAACTCCAATTCCTAAATTATAACAATAACCGACTTGATACATTCCGTTAGAATTATTCATGTCTGCCGATTTTTGATAATAAGTAAATGCTTCGTTTTCGTCCTTTACAGTTCCAATTCCATATTCATAACAATATCCAAGCCAATACATTCTGTCTGGATCGTTCATATCCGCTAATTTTTGACAGTTAGATAAATTTGGTTGATTTAAATCATCGATTAATTTTATCAAGTCTTCGTTTGACATTTTTGATGTAAGTTGTAGAGAAATAATAATAATTATAAAAAAAATAGAAAAACGATACTGTCTATTTATTATTATTTACAATGGCTATAAATTATACCAATGTAATATCAGCGCAGTATTTAGATATAAAAATAGATATTATTTGATATTTTGTTTACGTTACCTCAATAAATGAACGTAAATATTATTACTCATGATGATTTTAACTGGTCAACTATATTAACATAGATTGTTTTGATTAGTGTAGATCATCTGATTTGTGTATTTAAGTTAAGAAAACAATACGTTGCATGCGCAGTTTTACTTAGGTCGTTGTGGATGAGTGTTTTGTTAAAGAATTGGATTTAATGATGGTTGGCCGTTATATGTGTTATTTCTTTAACCCATAACTTTAAACTTCGATCTTCATTCTCATTTTATTAATCAGAAATCATTTATTCATCTGATTAAGATAGACTTCAATAATAATAATCTTATTATGATGGATATAGTCATAATGACAGCACTAAACGGGGCCTTCCGGGATAGCCTTATCAACCCCAAATAAATTAACAAAACCTAGACAATTGTATCAAATGAGGTAAGTTATATATGGTGAATGGATTATAGATGGCATAGTTATTACTTATTATTAAAGGTCACATCACACAATGCGATGATTTCCAAATAATATACCTACGTACGTACAGTACGTATGTGCTTATTAAGCAACTGATAATTTTCTAGACTCGATGGATGTTCTATAGAATAGGTGGGCAAACTCCGCAAACTCCGCAACTCCGCTAAATATTTAATGATTACTAATTATTAGCAAAATTTATTTTATATATTGCCCACCTATTTTATAGAACATCCAATAGGAACTAAGCAAATTGTTTTTAGTAATTTTTTTAATATTTTATCTCAACAACTATTAAACTAAACTTGATAAAAATTTTTTATATTAATTCTAAAACCATATAGAATTAAAATAAAAATTTTTTTGTCAAGTTTGGTTTAATAATTGCTGAAATATTTTAACTTAAAGCTGTTGAAAAAAATCTACTTAGAAACAATTTGCTTAGTTTCTATTGATACCCTCATATTATAATAATATAAATATAGAATAAGCTAGTATTATTTCTTATAATTACACTAATATATAATACAATACATTTATATTCTTTATTTTAATTAGTAATAAACTATCAAACAAGCTATTATTAGTTTAGAAAAGGGAAACCTTAATTATATAAATTTTATATATTATTTTTTTTAAAATAAAAAAAAAACTATAAATTTGTTTAGTTGATACTAATATATATACTAATTTGAAAAATTAATAGCTTAAATATTTTAAGTTCTAAATAGCAATATACAAATATATAAATAATTTTGTGCTTTGTACTAACTTTTTTCAGAATTTTTTTAAATTTTGCACTATATATTTGGTTTTGCTATTAGTGAATTGTTATTTTACTTGTAATTATACTATAAATAATTTATAAATCTGAGATGTTTTATATAATAGATATGCAATATAAAACTAAACTCCACTAAGAGTGTGCTATTTATTATGTAATTTATACCATTGATACATAGTTAGGATTCTGATTACATTACACAAAATAGCTAATTGGCCAATTATATTCAAGAATATATATACTATATGTATAATACTGTATATATAATAATATATATGTAATTTAAAATTAAATAACTTTTGATTCACTGGCCTATTTTAGATAATTTAAATACCAAAATATTCATTTCAGTGAGGCAAAGCTAACAAATCTAAAATTATTAAATACAATCACAGAATCCTGAGATCGCTTAAGTTTTTTATAAATTAAAAATTATAAAAACTTTAGTAATTTTGGAATCCTGTAATTGGATTTTAATGATTTTAAACTTGTTAGTTTCGTCTTACTGAAACAAACATTATAGTAGTTAAATAATCTAAAACAGACTAGTGTATTAGAACTTATTCAACTTTAAAATTATATATATATATATATATTATTATATTATATATACAGTATGTATATATCAAACCACTGGTATTCAACACCACATTAATTTTAACCAATCAAATTTATTGCTATATAAATTTTGTTTTTTTTGAAATCTGAAGTTTCTCAAAGAAAACGTTTTTTCTTTACTAAGTAAACCTTTTTCGATGCTTATGTAAAGTTGTAGAGGAGTGTCTTGCGATCAGAATGGTAGTTAAAACGTTAAAATCGGCCTGGTGGATTGTGAGATATAAGCATTTTTGTCTTTGCAACTATATGTTTTCTTCTTTATAGTATAAAGAAAAAAATATATAGTCGCAAAGACTAAAATGCTTATATCTCATGATTCACCAGGGTGGTTTTAACATTTTAACTGCCATTCTGATCGCAAGACACTCCTCTACAACTTTACTTAAGCATTAAAAACTTTTTCTTTGAGAAACTCCAGATTTCAAAAATAATAAAAAGTGGTGTTAGTATCTAATTTATATTGTGTATTGTATTTTTTAATTTAACAAATTTGATTGGTTAAAATTGGTTAAAATTAAGTATAGTGTTGAACACCAGTGGTGTGATTTATCAATCTCCTATATATATTATATATATATAATCTACTCTTATAAATGTAGTCACTACCTTATTAAAAGAAGCACCCTTGGCAGTTAATAAGAAGAATGAAGTAAGTAGGCAGGTGGATAAGCCTATTTACTCGGAATAAGTACTTGTGGAACTGTATATAGCAAGTGAATCTGTAAAAGACATATCTATAATTCATATTACAATTTTTAATACTCTTATAACCTGCTTATCTGCTATAATAAATTTCTTCTATTATTAAATTCTCTATCTATTTGATCTCTTTAAACAATTAATTCTTTCTTTTTACACTTATTCAAAATTAGTTTATAGAATAAATTCTACAAAAAACTTGTTATATCTATTAAATCTGACTTTAGTAAAGCTCATATTTACTCACCAGGAGAATCTTGCTCTTTATCTGATTACATTATTATACTCTACCTCGAAACTATTTATCTTAACCTCTTTATTTCTCTTAAATCATATACTCATAATATTTCTTTTTCTAACACTATACACTCTTCTCATAATCTTTCATTCTACATTCATAATACTTGTAACTTTAATCAAGGACTAAAACAACAAATATAGAAGAATACTGTTTAAATAACAATTTTAATATTATCTGTTTGTCTGAAACAAAACTTGCTCATAACTCTTTCTATTCAAAACCTTATTTAACCTCTTTCTATACTTACTATTGATTCTGTACAGACAGTTCTAAAGCAGGCACTGCAATTATAATTCAGAACTACTTTATTTCTTATATTCATAATATTGTTACTCATTCTGGATATGCTATGTTTATAGATTTTTTTTTTAAACATAATTTTTAAATTCTACACCAATTCTATTTACCTCTCTAGTAATAACCCTACTATTAGACTATATACTCAAAACCTTATAATCCAATAGATTCAATAAGCAATTTTTTCTAATTTCCTTCCTATTGTTCTTAGTAACTTCAATACTTCTACAAACTTGACCCTCTCCTCTTCTATTAAATTTAAACTTCTGCAATTTCTTATCTTTAATAATATGTATAATTTGGCAGCTCACATCTTCTCATCCTCACTTACATAGCAAAGTTCTAAATATAGCAGTTAAATTGACTTTATTTAGAGTTATTATACTATTCTTAATTACTTAACCTTTTTAAAACCAATAATATTAATACTAGCTCACTTAGTAATTACAAAATTCTTATTTCTTACTTGTCTTTTCCCTATGCTCCATAGACATAGAACTCAAACATGTTATAGAGTTTTTAACTACAAAATTATAAACTCTACAAAGTTATGAACTCTACAAAGTTATGAACTCTACAAAGTTATAAACTCTACAAAGTGAAAAAAAATTTTTAACCAAGTCCATACTAATCTTATATCTAACTCTACTCTACACTGATGAATCTCTTGAATCTACCTGGTATAAAATTCAAACTAGTATCATCTCTGCTACTCTTCAATATATTCCTAATAAAAAATTTATAGTCCACAACTTTTAACACATATTCTTCTCTAAAGCATTTCTATTTCACTCTAATCTTAAAAAGCTTAGCAATATTATTCATCACAATAAATATTTTCTTAAATTTAATACAACGATCCCTTTATATTTTAATACAACTATTTTCTTTTTTAACCAATTCTCAAGTTTATAAATTTCTTCTATTTCTACATTCTATTACCTTCTCTCATCCTGAATTTCTAAACTAATAAAGAATAAAAAAATATCTTTCTACTTATAATACGTTAATATTTGTTACAAAAAAAAGTAACGAGCCTCATAAAATATTCCTGCTAATGCAGGGGTATTTCATGGGGCCCGTTACTTTTATTTGTGACAGAGATTAGTGCATCATAAGTAACTCTGTTAATTGGAGATTTTTAAAGTCTGCCTTGGTGGTGGGGTCACGTGACTTTTGCCATTGTGAAATTGGCAAAATTCAAATTCTGCCAAAGCAGAGTTTGAATTTTTAATCGTCTTTTATTTAAAATAATAATAATAATAAAAAATTAAAAAAAATTACTAAAAAAGAAAAACAAGCAAAACTACAATAACAAAAAAAGAAACATAATTTAAAAAAAAAAAACTATATTTAAAAAGAAATAATAACATTAAATTAAAAAAAAGAAAAATGATAAATTAAAAAAAAAAACTAATTAATTAAAAAAAAAACTAATAAACTAAAAAAAAAATTGATAAATTAAAAAATAGAAAAGAAAGTTAAATTAAAGAAAAAAAAAAGTCAAAAAAAAGCAATATTAAAAAATAAAAAAAAACCCTGAAAAATAAAAAAAAAATAAGCAAAATTGATAAAATAAATAAAATAACTTTAAAAAAAATTAATATATAAAAATAAATTAAATTAACTTAAATATAAAAATGTTTAAAGTAAATAAAATTAAATGTAAAAACAAGTAAATTAAATTAAATTAATTAAATTAACTTAAATATAAAAGCGTTTAAATTAAATAAAATAAAATGTAAAAACAGGTAAATTAAATTAAATTAATTAAATAAAATTAAATCAAAATAATTTAAAAAAAAATAAAAAATAAGTAAAAATAATTAAAAAATAATTAAAATAAATCAAATCAAATTAAATTAAATATAAAAATACATATATAAAATAAAAATAAAATGTAAAATAAAATGCAAAATAAAATAAAATAAACATAAACCCATAAAAAATAATTAAAAAATGCCATAATTAAAAATAAATCAAATTACTTAAATATAAAAATGTGTAAATTAAATAAATAAAAAGGAATTTTTAAATAGAATTTTTAATTGAGTGAACCACTAATTTTTGAGTTTTCAAAACGTGTTTGGGGCCAGATTTGAGTAAGAAAAAAAAGAGGGAAAAAGAAAAAAAAAGAAAAAAAGAAAATTTATAGGGAAGAGAGTTTGGAGAGTAATTTGACTGTAAAACAGTCAATTTTGACTATTTGTAATGAATTTTATATCAAAA